TCTATATATTTTCTATATAGTGGGGGATCTGCCTGTGAACCCAGGCAGGCCCCCTGCAGCCAATCACGCCGATCCAAGTCATGTGATCGAGGTGCCACCACAATCACATGATTTGGATTGGCTGCAGGGGGACTGCCTGGGTTGTCAAGCAGGCCCCACGATCGCCTCGGAGGCTATTTGGGCTGAAGGGCCACTGTGTGGGGAAGGGGGGAAAAGGCAGTGTTTTGTGATGGTGACAGTGTGGGTGGCAGTGTGACAGTATGAGGAGACAGTGGGGTGAAGATGGGGGCAGTGTTTGGGGATGGTGACAGTGTGTAGGGAGGGAGCAGCTGTGTGAGGGGGCAGTGTGACAGTGTGGGGGCAGTGTTTGGGGATGGGGCAGTGTGACAGTGTGGGGGGCAGTGTTTGGGATTGTGACAGTGTGGGGGCAGTGTTGTGAGGATGGGGCAGTTTGACGGTGTGGGAGGCATTGTTGTGGAAGGGTAGTGTGACAGTGTAATGGGGCAGTGTTTAGGGATTATGACAGTGTGGAGGGACAGTGTATGGGGAGCGGGCAGTCTGTGAGAGCAAATAGTATGGCAGTGTGTGAGTGAGTGACAGTGGGGAAGGGTACAGTGTGACAGTGAGAGGTAGCGGTGTAGGGGGCAGTGTTTGGTGATGGTGACAGTGTGAGGAGGAAGTGTTGCGGGGATGGGGGTAGCGTGACAGTGTGAGAGGCAGTGTTGTGGGGATGGGGCAGTGTGACAGTGTGAGGAGGGTAGTGTGGCAGTGTGTGACAGTGTGGGGGTAGTATTTGGGGATGATGACAATGTGGGGGGGCAGTGTGGTGAAGGGAGACGTGTAACAGTGTATGAGAGGGCAGTGTGACAGGTGGGAGGGGGCAGTGTGACAGTGTGTGAGAGAGCAGTGTGACAGTGTGTGAGAGAGGGCAGTGTGACTGTGTGTGGGAGCGGGCAGGATGTGGGAGATTTCCTACCTCTCTGGGATCCCACCACGTGGACCAGTGTGTGTCACGTTGCACCGGGGCACGGTGTGCTCTGTGCCAGCCTACCATGCGGTGTGCTCACACTGCATTCCAAAAAAGCGGTAAGGGGGCGGAGCCACGACAAGGGAGGGGGCGGGGCTGCACCACAAGTAGCTATCATGCCGAGTGTGATAACACTCGCCCGGCAACCACAAAATACAATGTTTCTGTCTCCAATAAGACCTCCATCTAGACATGTATATTGTGTACATACAGTCAGGCCCAAACAGGCCATCAAGCATCTGCGCTGGATTAGCCTTGCATAAGCTAATTCCACCATTAAAGACATTTTTTTCACCTACCCCTATGGAAGCTGAATTGTACCCCTGGGGGTACGCGTACCACAGGTTGGGAACCCCTGCTGTAGAACATTTTAAAGGTTGAAGCATTAAAAATATGCAAAAGTAATTAGTACTTACCCGATCGCCACGTTTCCCCTGTTGGCGATCGGTTTTGCTACCGGTCTGGGGGGGACTGTCTGACAGCCCAGACAGTCCCCCCTCGGCAAATTAGGCCCCCGCGGGCCATGAGATCGCAATAGGTGCCTGTGTATCTGCCTTCAGGGGGACTGCCTGAACAGACAGGCAGTCTCCCTGCTGCTGGGAAAATAAAATGTTAGTAAATAAAAAAGAAAATAATATATGTGTATATATATATATATATATATATATATATATATATATATATATAAAAACTATTGTACCTTGCACTCAGGCTTCAAAGTTGTATGGCCGGGTGCATCACCAGGGCTCCAGTATCCAGGCAAACGAAATAGTTGGCTGCACTCACGGATTTTCTTAAAACTTAACTTTTATTGAAATGTTTAACCCCTTAACATGTCATGTTTACCTTTTATTCCAAAAGTTTGGTCCTTAAGGGTTTAAGAGAAGATCAATGTTTCAGTCCCCCTTGTGGACTTTCATCGGGATGCTAGCACTGTATTTAACAATGTAACTTTCCATTACACCCTAAAACCTGTACATGGGGGGTACTGTTTCGGGAGACTTCGCTAAACACAAATAATAGTGTTTCAAAACAGTAAAACATATAACAGCGATGATATTGTCAGATATATATAGATACAGTTGCAAGAAAAAGTATGTGAACCCTTTAGAATGATATGGATTTCTGCACAAATTGGTCATAAAATGTGATCTGATCATCATCTAAGTCACAACAATAGACAATCACAGTCTGCTTAAACTAATACACTAACACACAAAGAATGAAATGTTGCCATGTTTTTATTGAACACACCATGTAAACATTCACAGTGCAGGTGGAAAAAGTATGTGAACCCCTAGACTAATGACATCTCCAAGAGCTAATTGGAGTGAGATGTCAGCCAACTGGAGTCCAATCAATGAGATGAGATTGGAGGTGTTGGTTACAGCTGCCCTGCCCTATAAAAACACACACCAGTTCTGGGTTTGCTTTTCACAAGAAGCATTGCCTGATGTGAATGATGCCTCGCACAAAAGAGCTCTCAGAAGACCTACGATTAAGAATTGTTGACTTGCATAAAGCTGGAAAGGGTTATAAAAGTATCTCCAAAGCCTTGCTGTTCATCAGTCCACGGTAAGACAAATTGTCTATAAATGGAGAAAGTTCAGCACTGCTGCTACTCTCCCTAGGAGTGGCCGTCCTGTAAAGATGACTGCAAGAGCACAGCGCAGACTGCTCAATGAGGTGAAAAGAATCCTAGAGTGTCAGCTAAAGACTTACAAAAGTCACTGGCAAATGCTAACATCCCTGTTAGCGAATCTACAATACGTAAAACACTAAACAAGAATGGATTTCATGGGAGGATACCACAGAGGGAGCCACTGCTGTCCAAACAAAACATTGCTACACGTTTACAGTTTGCACAAGAGCACCTGGATGTTCCACAGCAGTACTGGCAAAATATTCTGTGGACAGATGAAACCAAAGTTGAGTTGTTTGGAAGAAACACACAACACTATGTGTGGCGAAAAAAAGGCACAGCACACCAACATAAAAACCTCATCCCAACTGTGAAGTATGGTGGTGGGGGCATCATGGTTTGGGGCTGCTTTGCTGCATCAGGGCCTGGACGGATTGCTATCATCAAAGGAAAAATGAATTCCCAAGTTTATCAAGACATTTTGCAGGAGAACTTAAGGCCATCTGTCTACCAGCTGAAGCTCAACAGAAGATGGGTGTTGCAACAGGACAATAACCCAAAGCATAGAAGTAAATCAACAACAGAATGGCTTAAACAGAAGAAAATATGCCTTCTGAAGTGGCCCAGTCAGAGTCCTGACTTCAACCCGATTGAGATGCTGTGGCATGACCTCAAGAAAGTGATTCACACCAGACATCCCAAGAATAACTGCTCAAGAACTGAAACAGTTCTGTAAAGAGACTTACTCCTGACTGTTGTGCACGTCTGACCTGCAACTACAGGAAACGTTTGGTTGAAGTTATTGCTGCCAAAGGAGGTTCAACCAGTTATTAAATCCAAGGGTTCACATACTTTTTCCACCTGCACTGTGAATGTTTACATGGTGTGTTCAATAAAAACATGGCAACATTTCATTCTTTGTGTGTTATTAGTTTAAGCAGACTGTGATTGTCTATTGTTGTGACTTAGATGATAATCAGATCACATTTTATGACCAATTTTAGCAGAAATCCATATAATTCCAAAGCAGGGCCGCCATCAGGGCATGACAACCGTAACAATTGTCACGGGCCGGGGGGCCCGGCCGCCCGGGCCCCACGTGGATCAGCGGAACTGCCGCCGGTGCATCTGCACCGGGGCCCACACGCTGATGGGGCCCATCAGGTGGCCCCAATCATTTAGGGCCACCCAATGGGCCCTATTATCTTCAGGGGCCCGATCAGCGCTGTAATAGCGCGACCGGGCCCCTTTAAAAAAAAAAAATGCAGCCGGAAGCAAGTGCTGCTGGGAGGAAGTGACGTCCGGTCACTTCCTCCCACTTTACTCCGTGCGGGAAGGAGGACGCAGCCTGAGGAGAGGCAGCCGATGCCCATCATCCCCAGCCACCCTCCTGCGACGAAATGGTAAGGAAGAGAGTAGGGTGGCTGGGGATGAAGTGTATGTATGCCAGTGTGTGTGTATGCCAGTGTATGTGTATGTATGCCAGTGTGTGTATGCCAGTGTGTGTGTGTGTATGTATGCCAGTGTGTGTGTGTATGCTGGTGTATGAATGCCAGTGTATGTGTGTGTGTGTATGCCAGTGTATGTGTGTATGCCAGTGTATGCCAGTGTATGTGTATGAATGCCAGTGTATGTGTGTATGAATGCCAGTGTATGTGTGTATGTATGCCAGTGTGTGTATGCCAATGTGTGTGTGTGTATGTATGCCAGTGTGTGTGTGTATGCCAGTGTATGTGTGTGTGTATGCTGGTGTATGAATGCCAGTGCATGTGTGTGTGTGTATGCCAGTGTATGTGTGTATGCCAGTGTATGTGTATGAATGCCAGTGTATGTGTGTATGAATGCCAGTGTATGTGTGTATGTATGCCAGTGTGTGTATGCCAGTGTGTGTGTGTGTATGTATGCCAGTGTGTGTGTGTATGCCAGTGTATGTGTGTGTGTATGCTGGTGTATGAATGCCAGTGTATGTGTGTGTGTGTATGCCAGTGTATGTGTATGAATGCCAGTGTATGTGTGTATGAATGCCAGTGTATGTGTGTATGTATGCCAGTGTGTGTATGCCAGTGCGTGTGTGTATGTATGCCCATGTATGCCAGTGTATGTGTGTGTATGCCAGTGTGTGTGTGCCAGTGTGTGTGTGCCAGTGTATGTGTGTGCATGTATGCCAGTGTGTATGCCGGTGTATGAATGCCAGTGTATGTGTGTGTATGCCAGTGTCTGAATGCCAGTGTGTGTGTGTATGCCGGTGTATGAATGCCAGTGTATGTGTATGTATGCCATTGTGTATGCCAGTGTGTATGCCATTGTGTATGCCAGTGTGTGTATGCCAGTGTATGTGTATGAATGCCAGTGTATGTGTGTATGGATGCCAGTGTGTGGATGCCAGTGTATGTGTGTATGTATGCCAGTGTATGAATGCCAGTGTGTGTGTATGCCAGTGCGTGTGTGTATGTATGCCCATGTATGCCAGTGTATGTGTATGTATGCCAGTGTGTATGCCATTGTGTATGTGTGTATGTATGCCAGTGTATGTGTGTATGTATGCCAGTGTATGTGTGTATGCCAGTGTATGTGTGTATGTATGCCAGTGTGTGGATGCCAGTGTATGTGTGTATGTATGTATGCCAGTGTATGAATGCCAGTGTATGTGTGTATGTATGCCAGTGTATGTGTGTATGTATGCCAGTGTGTGTATGCCAGTGCGTGTGTGTATGTATGCCCATGCATGCCAGTGTGTGTGTATGCCAGTGCGTGTATGCCAGTGTGTGTCTGTATGTATGTATGCCTGTCGGTATGTATGTATATATCAATATGCAGTATGTATATGTATGTTTGTCAGTATGTATGTCTGCTTGTATATGTGTGTGTGTCTCAGCATCTCCCTATGCATGCGGGATTTGGAGGCAGGCTTGAAGGGGGGCCCAGACCTTGAGCTGTGTTAGGGGCCCCAAAATTTCTGATGGCGGCCCTGTTCCAAAGTGATCACATACTTTTTCTTGCAACTGTATATTATATGTATATATAATATGTGTATATATGATCCACTGTTAATAAAGCTTCGGCGAAAGCCGTTAAGTGAGGAGTAAGGACTATACCTAAGACTGGTTTTTATTCTTATATATCACTTTATTTTAATACTGTTTACATGTAATAAAGTACTTTGTATAATTTTTAATACATCCAGCCATTTTTATACTCGCCTCACATCCAGTTTTTCCTGCTGCTGTTTCTGGGTCCAGTATATCCCTAGGTGGGGATTTTTCCACCTTAAGTTCATTACACTGGAGCAGGTCATTGCTCTAGTAAATGTAAGTAGGTTTACCCTTCTTTTTATTGTGTACATACGTACTCTACCATTTGGGTTTATTTCTCTCCCTTTTATGTGCTGACTGTATCCACCTGAGAGCCTAGCAAGAAATCAATAGACGGGGAGTATTCTGTCCAGGCTTCTAAAATAGAGCTTATATAGCTCTACAAAGTGTGTGTTTGGCACTATACAATTATTTGCACTATTACCATTATATACTGCACCATTATTGTGTTTTATTTTAACCCCTTAAGGACACATGACATGTCATGATTCCCTTTTATTCCTGAAGTTTGGTCCTTAAGGGGTTAAGTTATAAATCTCTGGATTTCGTTACGATTAGGTATGTATTTTTTACCATTAGCGCTGTTCACCTCATTATTCTATTCTTTTATATTTGTCTTTTACAAGGTTGGGGGAACACCTTGTTGGTGTATTGCAGCTCAAATCAGAGCGTGAGCACGTATTGCTGTTTTGTTACATCTATATACAATGTGTTTATATATCTTATTTATAATGTCATACTAAGTATGTTTTTATATTAATCTATACATATATTAATATAAAAATATACTTCACACACGTATATATATATATAATAACTATATATTGTATATATATAGATATGTATATATAAGTAAATTAAAAACTATAAAAAAATTATTATATTATATATATATGTCACTTTATTCTATACTGTATTTTGATATTATTATATATATATTTATATCAAAATACACTTAGAATGAAATTGTAAATATATCTATGTACATATAAATAAATAAAAATAATACAAAAAAAATATATATATACATCCATATATATATAATTACATAAATAATTTTATAAATATACACGTAGTTTTCAAATATATAGATATGTATATATATTTAAGTTCTACGTGCATATTTATGTAATATTTTTACATAATTAAGTAATTTTATTGATTGCAATTTGAGGGACCTGCCTGACAACCCAGGCCGAAAGTCCAGATAATTTAATTTGCTAGCACTGTGTTTAACAATGTAACTTGAAAACAGTAAAACATATCACAGCGATGATATTGTCAGTGAAAGTGAAGTTTTTTTTATTTTTTACACAAACGGCACTTTCACTGATGATATTGTGATACGTTTTAGTGTTTTGAACACTAATATTTGTGTTCAGCAAAGTCTCCCGAGTATGACAGTACCCCCCATGTACAGGTTTCATAGTGTTTTTGAAAGTTACAGAATCAAAAATAAGGCTTGATTTTCTGTTTTTTCGCATTGAAATTTGCCAGATTGGTTATGTTGCCTTTGAGAGCATATGGTAGCCCAGGAATGAGAATTACCCCCATGATGGCATATCATTTGCAAAAGACAACCCAAGGTATTGCAAATGGGGTATGTTTAGTCTTTTTTAGAAGCCACTTAGTCACAAACACTGGCCAACGTTAGCGTTCAGAATTGTTGTTTGCATTTTTAACACACAAACAAATATGAATGCTAACTTTGGCCAGTGTTTGTGACGAAGTGGCTACTAAAGAAGACTAGACATACCCCATATTGAATACCCTGGGTTGTCTACTTTAAAAAATATGTACGTGAGGTGTGATTCAGAGATTTATGAAAGATAACAGTGTTACAATGTCACTATTGGTAAATTGTAAAAATATATATTTTGAAACAGCAATGTCCTACTTGTACTTACAGCCCTATAACTTGCAAAAAAAAAACTAAGAACATGTTAACATTGGGTATTTCTAAACTAAGGACAAAATTTTGAAACTATTTAGCACAGGTGTTTTTTGGCGGTTGTAGATGCGTAACATATTTTGGGGTCAAAGTTAGAAAAGGGGTGTTTTTTTTACATTTTTTCATCATATTTTTTAAATTTTCTTATAGTAAATTACATGATACGATGAAAATAATGGTATCTTTAGAAAGACCATTTAATGGCGAGAAAAACATTATATAATATGTGTGGGTACAGTAAATGAGTAAGAGGAAAATTACAGCTAAACACAAACACTGCAGAAATGTAAAAACAGTCTGGTAAGAAAATTGAAACACTGTCTGGTCACTAAGGGCTTATATGGTAAAGTTAATTTAATGTTGGTTTCCACAAAAAGATGTGGCATCAAGGCAGGTGAGTTGATATTATTTAGGGTGTATAAATAAACATGTGATTAAATATCTGGGAGAGAAATGTTGGGGCAGGGTATGTGTGCTGTCTCTAGAAGCAAAATTGGAACATTTATTTTAATTGTAAATCTGTAAATGGCACACTGCACTGCAATGCTAAATCTAGTCAGATGGAGAAAAGTCTGCTCAGTGTGACTCAACAAGAGTGCACATTTGGTGATAAAGTAAAAATAATATAAACAAACATATATTGAAAACAAATGTACATTTTATTCCTCTGCTGATACCAATTTCAAAAGACACACCTAAATAATGTTATTTGTTCCATTTAGCTATACAGTGTAATGTCTTATTTTATTTTTCCTGGTCTTAGTAGCGAAATGTTTTGGTTTCATTGACTTGATTATCTGGGCAAAGTTTCAGCATCTTCTCCTTGGAGAGAATAATTGCGGCTATAGACTCTCCACAATCCTTACCACAAATTGTCCCATTGAAATATTTCGGTATGTTTGATACTGTTATTAAAACAATTCATCTCATTGTGAAATACACTGCAATGTTTGGTTTTCATTCAGTTAAGTGAAAAGTAACATTTTAATTGCAATAAAAACAGTTAAAAACCACAAACTGAAATGTGGTGAAAAACTGCAGTAGATTTATATCTTTTAGTTCTTAGATTGACAAGCACTCATGCCACGTCTGTGGCTGATAGGATTTTTGTTTATTGGTATATTGTACTGATTCCTTTTATTGGTGAAAATCCCTCCTGCACATTGTCTGCCTATTTCGGGCTTCTTTAAAGAGACACTATAGTCACCAGAACAACTACAGCCTAATGTAGTTGTCCTAGTGAGTATTGGCAGCCCATGCAGGCTTTTTGCAGTGGACACTTTTTTTTTTCAGAGAAAAGGCAGTGTTTACATTACAGCCTAGTGACACCTCCAGTAGCCACTCCTCTGATGGCTACTAGATGTGCTTCCTGGGGCAGTGTGCAGCACTGACATTCAGTGACTCCACCCTCTGCATGGAGACATTGAACTTTCCCCATAGAGATGTGTTCAATGCGGAGATGCTGTTTGGCCAAGGCTGTGTTTGCCCCCTCCCCCTCAGCCCACCTCCTTGGCTGAGATCATCAGAATTGACAATCTAAGCCAATACATGCTTTCCTATGGGAAAGCATTGCGATTGGCTGAGATCATCCCTTTAGATGATGTCAGTCAAGGAGGCAGATCAGGGACAGAGCCAGCACAAGCAGACTGTAATAAAGGTAAGCTTTTCGTATATTTTGGGGGACAAATGGCTAGATAGTGTTTTTAGCACTATATGGTCAGTAATACATGTTTGTGTTTCTGACCCTATAGTGTTTCTTTAAGCTTTTGAAACTAAGGACTTATAGATGCCAGGACTTTTCAAACCAGTCATTACATACCACTGCTAAATTAGAGTTTACAAATGTCCCAGTTCAATTTATATTAAATAGGATTACCATGACCATTAGGTCCAATAACCATTACTAATAGCTTTCTTTGTCATGTGGTGTAAAATATGAATACTTTTTAAATACAGACATATAATGTAGGAAATGTAGACCAGATCCTAAATCGCATGTCTTTATCTGTAAACAAGTACCATTTAATAAGTGACTATACAACATGATAATTTTACCGTTCTACCGCAACATTCATAGCCATTGTCCTATATGTATATCTACAGATTTTTTTATTCTTTTACAGAACATTGTGAAGTGGCATTTGTTAAATTAAATCAAATTAAGTGATTGTTTTCATTAAGCAAGAAATACCACTTATTACCTAGTGAAAAGGAAAATTATTATTTTGAAAGTGGCAGGGCAGTGTTCTAATTATCACACAGCTTAGAGCAGATGGGATGGCATGTGGGGCTCTGTATAAAACATGACAGCTTGTTAGGATAACTGATATGCTAAAAAGTGCTTCTTTCCTCAAGCAAAACACATTCTGAAAAAAGCTGGTCTGGGGGACAGCATACTGGATAGAGAAACACAGTTGACATATATGAATAAACACATTGCATAATAATTATTGCTAGTCTGGCTGATCTGTTATATTATATTTTTGTGATTGTTCAATAGGAAGATGTCTTTGCTGATAATGAGTGATGTGTATATATATTTATTTAACATCTCCACAGGTCCTTGCACACTGACTATTCTTTATAATGCCGGGTGCATAAAAGTAAACAGTAAACGGCTTGCACTCACGGTCTTTTCGTTGTAAAATTCCTTTATTCAGTATTTATGTAAAAACAG